GATCTTTTATTTTTGCCGTTGAATCGTAGTGTGGTCCTGGGGCCTTATGAGACACGCGGGATTAATTTGCCATGCAAGTTTCCAATTGGTTCCCTGCAACAATATTTCGTGACTCTTCCCAATCGCCAGGTTACGTTTCTTGTTAAAACCGACGGCGTTCGTATTTGGGGAGCTCTCAAGAATTTTTCAGCAGAGCCACAGCAATTGATGCCCCGTTATGATCTTTTAGCTTGCCGCACATCGGTTCAGTGGCTTCGCATTCCAGATAAGGGGGTAGTTTTGATTCCAGAGGGTCGCAAGGGACAGGGGTTTTGTCAGGCGATCAGGGAATCTTCGGGGAATGCGGTTCCCGCCCCTACACCACAGCCAGCATGGTTGTCTGCATTGCGGTCTAAATATCCCGCTGTCTTTCAGGCTGGGCTCGGGACGTGTCGCACGTATGTGGTTAGCCACTTCCCCTTTCGCTTTCCGCTTCCATGGAAATCCCAGCCACGTAATCCCATGACAGGGCCAGCGGAGGAAGCTAAGGTGTTAGAGGAAGTTCTCAAGTTAGTGAAGCTTGGAGCAGTACGTGAGGTAGACCACGAGCCGTTTGTGATTCCGGCATTCGGTGTGCCCAAGAAGAACGGTTCCACTTGGCTGGTTTTGGATTTTAGGAAATTCAACTCGTGTATTCGGCATCAACCTTTCCTGCCAGTTCATCGGGAGATGTCTTTAGCCTCATTGCGCCCATTTCGCATTGGTTCCGCCTTGGATTTATCTAATGCCTACCTGCAAGTGCGGCTTGCTCCCCGCCTGTGGCGCACAGTGGGACTGGCAGTGGCAGGACGGTTCTTTGAGTACACACGTTTGCCTTTTGGCTATTCGAATAGCTCGCATGAATTTTTGCGTGCTTTGTGGCCTACTGTTCGACGAGTTTCACGACGCATTCATTCCCAGATCATTTTTTATATGGATGATATTCTCTTACTTTCACAGTCTACGTCACAGCATAGGCGGGATATGGATATTTTATTCGAGGAGTTGGCACGAGACGGATGGCGGGTGAACTGGGACAAATGCCACTTTTGCCAGGACCGGTTTGAGTATCTGGGTGTTACTTTGACTTCTTCCGGACTCCAACCTACAGCCTCGGTTTTGACTCAATTTGAGCAGGCGCCCATGCCTACAACCCAGTCAGGTTGGCGTCGAATTCGAGGTTGGCTGAATCATTCTGCTCGCTTCATCTGGAAGGGACATCTCGTGTTGGCAGCTTTGCGGGAGGTTCAAGCACATCCTTCCTCAGAACGATGGCGACATTTTCTTTCTTTGTTACGCCATCATTTCATTCGATGTGCTATTCCTGCTTCAGTTTCTGCGGGTTCCTTCACAATTATTACTGATGCGAGTAAGATTGGTTGGGGCGCAGTTTTGCTTGCTGGCCGTAAGATTGTGCGTTGTGCCCATGGGTTATGGTCTACTGGTTTTCAGCACCATGTCAGCAACGTTATGGAGTTGGAGGCGCTCTGCCGCGCTCTTCGGACCTTCCGGCCTTGGATATTTGGGGCCCCTGTTCATGCAATTATGGACAACCAGGCGGCAGTTAGCTTCAACAATCCTGCTAATCTCAGCGATTTTCTCAAACGCCGTCTGGATCTCCTCTCTTGGTACTCTCCTTAGATTTCCTTTTGTCCGGGACCATTTAATTATCTCGCTGATTTTTTATCTAGGCAGGGGGCATGGATACAGGGACCTTCTCATGTTCGCGCAGTGGAAGAACATCACTCTCCAGTTATATCCCAGGCACAATGGAAGCAGGCTCATGCCGGGCATTTTGGGGTAAAGAAGACATTTCTTCGTTTCCGCCAAATGGGCCTGCGTCCAAAGTGGAAATGGGTGGTGGATAGAGTGCGGTCATGCAAAGAATGCCAGTTGTTTCACCGACCGCAACCATCCAACCCGTTTGGCAGTTGGCATGTGCCGGAGAGACCGGGACAGGTCATTGGCCTAGATTTTATGGGACCTTTTCCGGAGAGAAAAGTTGGGAAGAAGCGGTTTGTTCTCGTCATTGTGGACATGTTGACCAGACGGGCAGGGGCGTGGGCAACGACTGGTGCCGGGGGAGCTGATATTGTGAGGGGACTAAAAAAGTGGGTAGCGACACAGGGGGCACCTTCAATTCTGTGTTCTGATGTCTGCAAGGCTACACAATCCAAGGAATTGCGGCGATGGTGCATGCACGAGGGAGTGACGCAAGAGTATTCTCCTCCATACCATCATGCTTCTATTGGGTTTGTGGAACGGTTCAATCAAACCTTATTGAATCGTTTGCGGTGAATGTGGGCAGAGCAACCCAAGTATTTTGCCAAGACAGTTGAGCGAGCAGTGGATATCTACAATGGTACGCCTCTATCTTCACCAGAAGAGAGCAAAGAAACCCCTAGTTCGTTCACTTTTGGATCGCCAGAGCAATTGTGGAATAGCTCGCAGGAAGTGTGGAGTCAGTTGCGTGAGTATACACGTCAGCAGCGAGACATGGCCAACCACAGAACGAGAGGGTGGCGCATCGCGCGAATGTTCAAGGCAGGAGACCGGGTATGGTTGTGGAACACAAAGGTGGAAACATTAAAGGACAAGCTCGAGCCATGGTGGAAAGGGCCGGGCCAGTTGATTCGTCCTATCACGACTTCAGTGTGGGAAGTTAAGGGACCTGAGGGGAAAGTTTGGATTAGACACACGGATATGATACGACCGTACCATGACATGGTTTGAACTGATGGTATTTCAAGTCATGTTTCAATTTAGCGCAGGGAAGCGTGTGAGGATAAGGAAAATGTGTATAAATAGTTAAGTGAGTGTGGTGCATCGGATACGGTGTTTATTACGGTGACACGGAGAATGATGGGAAAAGATATGGACTGAACACGCTTGCGGTGAATGCTACATGACAGACAGAACCATTCTGTAATCCATCTGGTTGCGGTTTGCTTCCCGTGCCTGGGAGCGACCGTGTGTGAGCGCGAGCGAGGAGCGCGAACAGTGAAACCACATAACAATATCGATTTTGTCACAATGATGTGAGCGTCAAAATTGACGTCAAGCGTACCAACATCAATACAGTTTTCCCTAAATGGTCGCGCAAGTAGTGTCGCAACAAGCCCAGAATCGATGTGCACAGTGGGCTAACAAACGCCATTAGAAGCTCTCTTATAAAACCAGTCGTTGTGCATGATGTAGGACGAAATGTCACAGCAGTTCACAAAAACTCGCAGAAGTCTCCTTGTTTCGCTTTTTTGAGAAGCAGCCCTCGTTGGAATTGCTAGGCCCCAAAGTTTTTGTCCCTCCTCTCAGGTGTGGTTGTCGCTGCTGACAATGCTTGCATTCCATTGCATGCATTGCAAAGCCAAAATACCATTCCATGGTTCTTCCATTTTGTTACATCATTCAGAAAGTATCATCTCTTACAGACGCTAAACAATTCATCCCTGTGCCTTCACGGGCGCAACGCCCCTATAGCACATCGTCCTTTCAGATACACTCTCGCCTCCCTATGGCGACCATGCCCCAAGCAATAACAAATCTAGCTCACTGCCATACTCAACAAATGAAATGAAATTCGGCTGCTAGAACCCCAGACAGGTTTAGGCATCAAAAATCAACAGAGAGCTGCGAAACAGGGTAATGTACATACCCGCGAAATCGAATCAACACTGCATCGGCCGCTTTTGCAGAGTGGCAACTGCAAACTCACCACAAACGCCACTCTGTTGCAAGCAATCTCCCACCCCTCATCTTCCCTCGCTGTCAGTCTGCTGCTACCTTCAGATCACTTCCTATCCTGGCGACCGCCATCTCGGTTTGCTGCTATCAATATCTAGGATTCCACCTTGCACAAAAGAACCACTTGGCTGCCCCTCTGGCCCACGTTCTTGGAAACAATGATATTACAAACACAATAAACGAGACAGCCAAAGCTGGCAAGGAAGCACTAAAACATGTTGTGGAACAGGTTGGCATGGCCATTGTTTGCCAGGTTTGATAAATACGATGTCCACAAAATCTGCAAGACAAAAAGAAAGCAAGAGAGTTAGAGGACATGCCATCAACGAGTACACCATGCACACAGCTCAGCAAACAGCTGGTGTACAGGACTCCCATTGCGACAACCACAAACTTCTCCATCGTATCCCGTATCCCGTCAAGGACTCCCCTACGCACCTGCAACTGGCTGTTTCAGTCTCACCTGCACAAAGTTGATGTATAATATGCGCTGCTCAGGAGGAACGAAGCGGAAGTTGATGAGGTGAGCAAGGGGCCACAGGGCGTAGTTGGCCACAATGGTTGGCACGAGTTCACTCTGGATGGTTGAGAGCGCAAGCTCTGGATGGCCCTGTGCATCCACACACATCGGTTCCGCTCAAACACCATCCTTTCTGCAATTCTGCAGGGGTGCGTAAGCTTGCTGCACTGTGCACCTGCACCTGACAAGCCAGAGGACCTCACCTCCATCGTTCTGACGAACGTGAAGAAAACACAACTAAACATTGGCGCCCATATGAGTTGGTCCAATGCCGTCTTGATGATGATCGCTTTTGTGGTCTTGGGGTCTTCGGGCATGACGTTCTTGTCCAGGGTCGCGTACCAGCAATGTCCTGCGAAAAACACCAGAGGAATTGAGTTCAAAAGGGGACAATCTCCGTCATCACGAGATCTCGCGATCACCACGGGAGCTCATAGCATATGTTGCCCTTGAGGGCGATGGATGCGCGCATGACGTCTTTTCTTCACAGCTTCATCTCTGGCTCCGCCACGATCCAACAGGACCGGTCAGCGAGCGGTGCGAGGCGTTCCTCACCGTTCCACGGTCACTAACCTTGCACGTGGGGAGAATGCATTGTTTGAAAATGGAGGCAGCCACAGCGTGTGATCTCACACACAAGTCGCAGGCGCACTCACCGACGGGGCCGTCCATCAGAACCCCGAACGCCGTCAGCCGCGCCGTCCGATACGGATCGTAAGCGCCGCCCATGATCGCCTGGGCGCAGATGTCCCCAATCATGAACCCGAAGAACGACGTCATGCTCTTCACCATGATCGGCTTCTCCGCCAGCAGCTCGTTGTACCCCGCCCAAAATTCGGCAAAGACGTTCCCCAAAGGGACCACCTCAGCCTCGGCCGCCCCCGCTGGGGTTTGCGGCTCCTGCGGGACCGGCAGCCGCGCCGGCTCGCCGGGCGCCGCGACGCTGGCCGCTGGAACACCAGCAACAGCGGACGCCGAAGACAGGGGCACGGCGGCCACGGTCAAGGGCACGCGTCCACCCCGCTGGGCACCGCCCCCGATCTTAGATCTGCTAGAGGCGTTGGCAAGGCAAGAGCCCCCTCGGGCACCCGGAGCACGCCTCCCTGTTCCGATTCCGACGGACTCAAAGCGGACGACGGATCCCGCGTGCCGGCGTGGCCTCTTGCTCAGGCATCGGAACGGCGCCTCGCGCACGGGCTTCAAGATTGTCCCCATCTGTTCCATATTCTGAGAGGCCCGGAGCGAGGGGGTACACAAGGGGGGTTCGTCGATGATGCGGAGAGGGGCCAGCGGGCGGCAGTGGGGTGCCCTGGCGGCGACTTGCGCCCGCGACCGCCCTCTCTCAAGGTGGAGGAAGACGGGGGGCGAAGGGGGGGGAGGCGCCCACGCCCGGATATTTACGCACCCAGACAGCGGCACGTGCGGCCAGGCTGGCCCTTCGGGCGCACGTGGGGCGGTCGCGGCGTCGGGCGCGGGACACCGGACGCCTTCGGGTGGGTGGGTGGGGAGGGGTGCATCTGGAGCGGGGATGCAGGGCCAAAAGCTGCGCCGCGTCCGCGCCCAGTCACGTCCAAAAGCGCTGGGCGGCGGACCTCCGCCGCAAGATGCGTCGGAGGCACCGAACCCGAGCTGTCGTGGAAACGGGGGAAATTGTGGTGCAACTGGTGCGGCTGGGGAGGTGCTCAGTCTGGGCATAAAATTACTCCCTGCATCAAATCGGTGACTGCTTGCACGAAAACGGTGACTTCTTGCACCAAGTCACGTGCACATCATGTCCAACTCCGTCAAAACTAACCTAACCTAAAACCTAAACCCTAAAACCTAAACCTAAACCTGTCCTAACCCTAACCCTAACCCTAAAACGCACCCTGGACTAAACCTAACCCTAAAACTGAGGTTAGGACAAAGTGTGCACGTGACTTGGTGCAAGCAGTCACCGATTTGGTGCAGGCAGTAATATTATTTCCTGGGGGGCCAGGTGGCAACTTGGCAGCTGCCTATTTGGCAATCAGATCGTAGACGTATCGGAGGCAGAAAAAATAATGATGATGAAAAAGTGCGGCGCGTACTATTCGTCACAGCACTATGGTGGGCTGTTGGTGGAGGGGGCGCGTGCGCACATGACATGCAGGACCGGTCCGCTCCCAGCTGGTCGGCGCCAGAGGCAGTGCCGAGGGAGTCAAACTTCATCGGCAGCGGCGGGCGCGCGCCAGCCCGGTGTCACGGCCACGGTCGAAGACGCCCGTCCTCGCGGCACCGCCCAGGGAAGGCAGAGGAGCTTGAAGGGCGGAGGCCTATTGTCGGCTGGGGCGTCGCGGGGCAGCCTGGTCCTGGGCCCCGGGCAGCGCGGACCGCGCTCCAGCCATGCCTGACCCGCCCAGCCCGAGATCTGGTGGTTCCGGCGGCTACGGCTGGACGAGCTGGAAGTTCTGGGTGGTGCTGTGCGCCTTTGTGCTGATGTACACGGCGGTGCAAGTCACGCGAGGCGTGCAGACGACGGTGGACCAGTGGGGGACCGACGTCCAACTGCTGACGACGGAGAGCTTTGTCGGCCCTTTCTCCTGGCCGACCTACGGCGCCAGCGACGTGGAAAGGCTCATCAGCGCGCGGAGCGGCCTGAGGGGCCACCAGGTGAAGAAGGGGGTGTTGGATCGCAGAGTTTGGATGAGTAAGTATGCGGCGGAGAGGAGGAGTTTGGGGATCCAGATTGGCGATCTGACGAGTTCAGATGATCGCCGTAACCGAGCGAGGTGCCAGGCCAAAGTGGCGCAATATCGCCGGAATCACCTGGGCTGGATCTGCGGCGACTGGTGGAAGGTGCCCAAGGACACCAAGATGCCCCACTGCAGCGTGCAGCTGCACAAGGCTGAGAACATCAGTGAGGTGATGTTGGAGGAATGGTGGAGGGACTACTTCGTGTTCGGGATTGTCAGGAACCCCTTCACCCGGTTTGCAAGTGGCTACACGTACCTGAACACCTACATGTCCGCTTGCCCGAAGCCCAGTTTCAAGCAGACTTGCTATGATCCCTTCATCCAGGCCAAGATCTGTGGTGTGGCCGGGTGTTGCTTTAGGGGATCCGTAGGGCACCATGTACACCACATGACAGACCAGAATTCATGCTTCTTCACTGCGGAGGGGGAGCTGGCTGTGGACTTCATTGCGGAGACGGAAAATTTGCACGATGACTTCATGACAATCGTGCAGGAGGCCAACAAGAGGCGTGGTGAGGGTGTCCCGCCTCTGGAGGAGGACGTGGAGAGCCTGCATGCCAATGCGAACAGGAAAAAGAGGGGTGGTGAAGACTATGAGGGCACGCTGTTTGAACAGAATCCTGAGTGCATTGGTGCGGTGGCCCACGTCTATCAGGAGGACCTGCAGAGGCTCCAGTATTCTACAGAAGACTAAGATGGAGCTGGTAGTTTGTAGAGGTGGATTCTTGGTGCCAACACAGCGTGCTAGAGGAATATATTGCACAGTAGTTACTATTTATTTAAATCTTTGTTGGCGATGGGCTGGCCTTGAAAATGCCTGGTCTCCTTGTGTTATCGCTGCCAGGGCAAATGCAGAACCTGATCCGTTCGTTGGTTGCCCTTGTTGTCGTGGCATGTGGCTTCAACTGCTGCTGGACGCACTTCCATGGGCACACCAATTTACCTGTGACTCGTCATCCACTGTGCGCCTCTGGACACATCAGAGAATGTGGCATCTACTGTGTATCTGCATCAGCTGCAGTAGCCGATGGAGCGAAGCTTGCACCGTACTCTGTGTGTAGAATGCTACGGCAACATCGCCCCTGTGGTGCCACACCAACCCTGGGTAAGGGGACCACTGAAGAAGGGGAAAATGCGACTTGTCATTGCCACTATTCCGAACTAGGAGACACCCCACCGAGCTCTCTTTCGTTGCCTCTCCCAAGGCATGCTTTCCTGATTTGTAAGGCCACGTGATGCGGTTTCAGCACTGAAAAACACCACCTTCGCTTGCGAGTACGTCGTTCGAAAGAGCTTGATTTTACAGCACCCTGCCCTACCGAGGTGCCGTTAGTGCATCGGACAGTGTCCACCCTTCGGATGACCCAAAACGTCGAGGTGGCCACACTGTGGACCTTCAGCCGGTGTTGCGGCAGGACTTCGTCGCCTGGAGTAACTGTTGGCGTCAGTGCCGTGAAGGAAATTCAATGGACTTGAGCAAGTGAACCAGTGGCCGCTCCTCACGGTACAAATCAACACGCCACCCGACAAGCGAATTTGACACGCTTGAGAAGGAGGTGAATTGACTTTAAAGGGACATCGCAGGTTTGTCTCTGTTAGACAGGCCTTCGCGGAGCCTACCATGTGGACATGTCCCGTGTGCTCTGCAAATCCCCACTCTCATCCAGCCCATGACTTACTTGCCGTCTGCTGCACGCTCAAGTGTGTATAAGCAAGGCAGCTTTCGCAAATCCCCATGGGCACCTTAACTTTCAGCTTGTCTCAGTCACCAGCAATGTTGCAACTTCGAGAAGCCTGGTCAGCCAGGCTAACCGTGGGTAAAGATTCGTAACACCTCAATAGGATGCATGTGATACAAAGAGGCAACTAGTAGTTCCAAGCCCTGGTTTGCTCCAGTGCTATGCTTCCGTTGCCATGTTCCGTGTACTGTTGACCCACGAGGCGACAGCGAACGAGCACCAGCCACATCATGCCCTAATGCACCATCCAGGTCAAGCTACATGAGACAGTGATGCACACTCGCCGTGCGCTTGGCAACTCGCAGAATCAATGCCAATTCAGCTCTTGGGCGCCCCCAACGGCCACGTGTCCATCCACTCCAAACCGCAGACGGAGCGCAGAACAAGCCGCAGTGCGCATCGCCCCCCAATGCCGGGTAGTGGAATGTCATTGGTGGCGATGCACATGCATTGCGCCCCTGCGATTCCGCAGCCACGGAACCGCTGAACCGTGCGCAGCCATTGTTCAAGAAGGCAGGGCACGATCGTCGCGGCCAGTAGGTCGCTGCGCAGAGAACAGGCCGGGACAAACATCGCAACGGGTTGCGACTGCCACCCCTCGAGGAGGACGCTGCATGGGTTCCCGGCAGCATGGGGCGCGGGTGCGGAGGTGGACATGCGTGGCACAGGGGGCTTGCAGAAGGACGATGGTGGTGGCCGTTTGCTGCATTGGAGCTCTGTCGGTTGTCTGTGGAACGGCACTGCTGTCGCCCTCCCTCTTGCCAGCGGAGGCCATGATCGCTTGGGGTGAGTTGGAAGTGCGGGCTGTGTTGAGCTGATCCATCGGAGCACCAGCGCACCTTTTACCTTGCTTGGGGGCAGGGGGGGAATTGGTTTTCACCCCTTTTCTGTGAGTTGGGAACCATAGACACGTCCATGGCCGTACAGTACATTGGGATGGGAAAGTGGGGACATATCTGGCAATGTCGATTGTGCGGTGGTCGATTGTTGGGAAGCGACGCTACACGGCTTGGCATTTAGCCACCGCGCAAGAATGTGACAAACGGATTCGCTGGGAGTCATTTGCGCATCGGCCGGGTGTAATCTGCACCGCAGGGTGTACAGATGCTTTCGCGGCTTTCTGCCTTCGCGTTTTGAGGAACAACCCTCCGCCTGGGGCCTGTGAGCTCACTGCGAGCCGAGTAGGAAGCTGACAGCAGACTTAAGAAAATGGAAACTGAAAATCGCAGCAGGGAATGTGCGAACAGGTTGCAGTGAGATGCGCGTATGCGAACATCTAACGACAAAGCCGGGGCGGAGGTTAATTGGACCTCAGTTGATGCCTCACGGTGTTCTCCGCTACAAGTGGTTTGACCATGTATCTAACGTGGTGGGCATATGATGTATGCGCGTCTATTCTAGGCCGTGGACGCATTAACGACCCCGAGATGAACGGAGGCTGGAGATTCTCGAGAAGGGTGATTGAACACAGCATGAATCAATCGAGCGCAAAGGTAAGATGCCCTTCTGAACTGTACACACCAAGGTGAGATTACTTGCAGACGACTCATTTGCGCAAATGAAATTTCGTCCACGTTTTGTCCGATTTCCCAGGCTCTCAGACGCTCCGGACGCTCTTTGTTAGTGCTCGGACACTTTTTTCTAAGTGCACGTACGGTCTGGACGCTTTTTGGTGCCCTCGGACTGTGGCAATAGCACGCTCGGACGCGCCCGAGCCGCTCGGAAACCGCGCTCGTAGTGTCCCGTAGAGTGTCCCTGTCTCCAGCGTCTTCGGCGAGCTTGCACTATGGGAAGTACCTAAATGCCTGAACTCCCTTGCCAGTATAACAGACTGACGTTGTATGACATACGGTCTAACATAGTTTGTCAGACAGACTTTGTGGTCAAGAGAATTCGTGGCCCAAACCATGCTTATTATCTTACCAGCGGTGTTTTCGGATGCTCCCATGAGCAACGAGTAGCCTTCAGTGAACTGTCGTGTGATGTATTGCACAACGGACAAGATTCCAGCTCCAATGGCTCAATATGCGGGACAGCTCGCCATGCTACATGCCACATTTCAGTCCTCCCTCTTTCCACATGGCATTCGGGTGCTTCGGCTCCAGTCACACAATTTTGCTAATTGTCGACACCGCACGCTCGTCAGCGCACCTTTGCCCGTTTTGAGGCGATGAGATGCAGCTCTCGCATAGCCAAGAGCTATCCAATATGACCCGAGCTTGTTTCTGGGTCTGCCGGTTCGAATGTCGTGGGATGGATGTTGAATCGATGTGGGGATGAGCTCCGTTTATGGCGTCGAATTCACCATAATGCAAATTTCAATTTTAAGCTGACAACGGGCCATGTCGCTTCTTTACATGTGCTTAAGGAACATAGGAACAGGCGGAAGCGGAGTAGCTACCTTCTGCCATATATGGTGCAGCTCAGGGCGCAGCCCGCACGGGCTTGTTGCGGTCCTTAAGTCGCCCTGAACCAAGCAGAATGACTGCTACACTTTTGCTTTGCTGCTTGTGCTTTGGCGGACAACGGTTGGCAGGGATTGGGACAATGGTGCGATACACTCTTAGACTGAGAGCTTTTTGAAACATGCATGCCGCCAATTGGCCGGAATAAATGGAACCACTCAACCAGCTCCATGCAGTTCTGCATGCATTAGACACATGTGAAAAAGGAAATGTCTTAATGCCATCTCTTTTGGCCTGGTATCGCTGGGAGCGTTTAGAATTCCATTTATTTACACCGCTAGAGGTTTACAGTAGTGCAGGCCAGGTGTGGGCACCAGCACGGCCCAAGCCAGATGGGCGCGGCATCAACGTGCTACTGTGGGCGGAGCTGTTGTGGGTCAAATGCAATATTCATTTCGTGCATTCCTCTGCAGATTTTGTCCCTGCAACATCCCACGGTGGTCCTATTCAAGAATTTTCTGTCCTTGAAGGAGACAGAACAGCTGGTGGAACGTGCAAGGCGCGGTATGAGCAGGTCACAGGTACACGGTTCGTGGGGACACATGTGTGAGGCCCTGGCGTTTGTATCGCTACGAGGCTTACATTGTACAAATCATCTTGCTGCGACTGGCTGCTCGCACACGATAGACACTGCGTGGACGCAGTGTGTCTTGACTGCCGCTCATTGAACAATTACACGCCACAGGCTCAACACATAGATGTATCACAGGGAACGCAGTCTGTTGAAATGCGCGCCAGAAGGTGAATGCACATGGGCATCCCCGCTTGGACATCTTCTCGCTTTATTGGGAACCATTCATCAACGAACTGGAGAAAGGAACAAGATGCCATGAAATGGAGCCCCACATCCGAACGCGGTCGCCCTGTGAGCAATTGTGGCAGTTGAACGACTTTATCCATGAAAATGCGGGTGATCTGCATTATTATATCTGTGAATTTGATATGCAGATCGTTGCGAATGTTGCAGATCGTCGGGGTTGACAAGGACAGCTTGCTTGCGCAAGACCGCACAAGTTACGGTGCCTGGCTCTCTGGCCACGAGGTGACTTTATTTTGAAGTGCTGAGTACTTACCTCTATCCACATATTTCTTGAGTGCATACGGGTCAAATTTGGTGATAACATATGGTTCTCAGTACCATGTGCCAGCGCTCATGAGCGCCATGATCATGGCATTTCAAAATTTCAAGTTGTACCAGCAGTACATCGTGTCATGCGCTTCGGGTTGTTGAGCTTCAGAAAGTAACAGCATGAAAGTTTTGGAATATTGTAATGTGGCAGCTCTGGGAGCAACTGCTTGCTTAGATATCTGTAAAGTGTACACATTATAATAACAATTTAATGCTCAATTGTTGTTACCATCAGCTTTGTGTATTTATCGACAATCCATTCACCCATCTTAATGGACAGAAAGAGATTGAAAATTCCGGAATGTTGAAAGTGCGGATGTTCCTGCAGACAGGTTGGGCCACTGAGATGGCATTCTTAGAATATTTAGAAAGTGGAACTGCTTCATTTGCAACAAAAGGATGAACAATTTGCTCAAAGTTTCGGATTTCAATACAAGAATGGACAACTTATCCATAGTAACGGATACGACTAACTTTCAAATTGCCCGGTCATTTGCGCGCATACATCTAGAGGGGCTCAAAGGAAATCATAGCGGCCATGACCCATCGACCATGAGCCTTGGCTAACCAATCGATCCATGCTGCACGACAGGCATCAAGAGTCGAAAAGAGAATACAAGATGTCGTTGGCGTGCCGCGCGAGTTTGGCGAGAGCATTTATGTTCTTCGCTATCAGGAATCCCAGAAATATGTGCCACACTACGATAATTGCGGCAAACAGGCGAGTGTGTGAAAGTACGTGTGCGGACACCCAAACATCGTTACTGGCACAAATATGTCCCGATCGTCCTGCGCATGCCGAATCAATCGGCTTGTTTTGGTTGGGCCTCTTTGCAAAAGGCCCAAGTAGGCAGTACTCGATCAATCTTTTCTGGAAGCACAGTAAGTATACCAATTGTGCTCAAACACGAATTCCGCGGTGTGATCACCGTCCAATGGTGAACTTTTTATGGAGATGATTATCAAAATTTGTGATAGTTGGTATTGCAGCAGACCCCTTTACTTGCCTTTATTTTACTTTAATTTACTTTTTTGCTTTACTTCCCTTCGTGCAGGGGGACCAGGTTGATGGAATTTTGGCGACTTCTTTCCTAGCATATTGGTGGTTTCTAACTATTAGACGATATGGTACCAAAGCGCACCAAAGAGCAAGTTACAGGCAGCCCTAATCCCATGCATGTTAAAGTCTGTTAGTACGGCTATTTTTTCGCAGTGACGCCGAACCCACCCCTGGCTTTCCCTCAATGAAAAACTTCATGATTCATCGGCTATTTGTCATTGCGATGGATCTTATATAAATATCCCACCTGCCTATTCCAGATTCATCGCAGTTATTAACAGCTGAAGTGCCATGAAGTGCCATTAATAACTGAAGTGACATGAGCGTTGTATGCAACTGCAGCGGTTGAATTGCCACTGAGATTCCCATTGAGTGGGAATACCAATCAAACTTCAACCGCACTCGATAGCCCGCCCTCTGGTCAGCGCTGCGGAACAACAGCTCTAAACGCAGACCGGCAATGCCCAGCAAGCGATCTGCCACTGTATAAGACCTCTGCGCATATTCATAACAGGAGAATGCTGGAAATATCTTAGCCCCAAAGACCACGCAAGCCAGTCACCTGGCGTTTAAGTCACCTTGAGTGACAAATGCTTGTGTGGATTACGTGCATGACTAACGCAGAAATGTCATCGGTTTTGCTGGCCTCGACGGGGTTTGGCTGGCTGTGGTTGCACTGAAGGAACATCTGAAACTTATGACTGCTTCAGTAGATATGTTCCAGCTTTTCTATGTTGCCACAGCTGGAAGCTCAGCTGATGGAGTTCAATCACTGCAGTGAGCTGTCCTGGAATGAGGGATCATGCGCAACCGATTTGTTACAAATCTTATAAAATTTGAAGGTGACTACACAACTATGTGTAATCTACCTGTTCTTTTGGTATGTGCATGCTTTGTTACCGCCATATTCCGGCAATGTTACTGGAATGATATATTGCCACTCTATGTCGGCGAAGCTGCAATTAAACAACTCATAGGGTCTGCAGGCACTGGGCTTTCAATTTCATGGTTAGATTTTGCCGACAATTGCTGGCATGGCTGCAACCAGCTGGGAGAATATCCAACCACTATCACGCTTTGCAGCATCCACACACGATGCGAGCAGATACCTTGTCAAAAATGGCATGAATGTCGAGTAGAGAAAAGCAAAAACGCAAGACGTGAATAAATTCAGCCCATTGGTGTCCAGCGAGTTTCTAGCCAAAATTTTGTTCAACCTGCGCATGAACCGTAAATGGGGTGTCTCAGGAAATAGGCACTGTCTGCCTGGGCAGGAGCCGCGCACGGAAATTGCGTACCTCATTAGCCCTTCGTTTTGACGTACGGTTTAGGCAGGTTTCCAAAATGCCATGGGCGAACTGTCATGGGAAATTCGTCGGAATAAAAGTGGCCCTGGCATTGCCAGCCCTTGCTCGGTGCATTGCTCCAGCGCTGTATCGCCGCGATAAACGGACGCTGACGGGGGCTTGGTATGTCTCCCAGGGGGAAGCACTGAGCGAGAGGTGCTGGAGATTTGTGTCGCGAGCCGGAGGCCCTCAGTGCGGAGAGGGCTTCGGAGGAGCGACCTGCGGCGACAGATTGGCGACATTCATAATGTATCTTAGGTGAGCGGAGGCAATCGATGCTCCCGGCATTGCAACATGCGCACGCGAATTGCCTGTGATCGCAACATGTGCAGTCAAACATGGTGCAATATAAGGCGCGTGATATATCATGGCACGTCTGAAAGCGCAGCTTCAAGAGTGAGACCGGGTGGCGCATCCTACTCCGAATGGCACGCCTCTGATTTCGATTTGAACACAAGTCAGCAGAACCCTCTTTCGATGGTCCGCCTATGCATGCGCACGAAAGAGCAACGCCTCTTGAAGTAGCAGCCAGGCCACATTCGATGGCGGAGCAGTTTTGGGATTGCTCTCACAGTTCCGTAGCGGCACATATGGATTTTCAGGAGGTGCACAGGCCTGTGCCTCATACAGCTGGCTATTGCTCATACCAGAAGTTGGTGCTTCTAAATGCATCTGGCGCTAGTTGTCTCGCGGCGCAAGACTGGCGCATGCTCGGTTGCCATGGACCAGCATAAGACATCGCGTGCAGGTCAGGGACTGGAACTTCCCCAAGGCAAGAGGCGGTACGCGGCTCGGGGGCTGCATGTCACTCAGCAATGCACTGACAGACGCAGTCGTCGGGCATAGAGCCGGAGCGGAAAGGCAAAAAGTACTAGTGCGGGTGGATTGGGCAGCACGGATATTACTGGCATTCCGCTTGCAATAGCTCACAGCCAGATCACACGTGCCCCGCCCATTGATGTGCGAAATGCAACAATCTGATATGCAGGCACACCCAGTTCTAAATCATTGTCAGCCGCGCTGCTTAGGGGATTGGGCGAGCGTCCTTTTTTGGATTCTCTTCTTCGTATAATTTGCGACGACCGAACTAGGGGGATGGATTTTGCCTGCGCACTCCCGCCTCTCGGATGGATCGAGACAATGAGAAGATGTTGACGTGTTGGAGTCGGACCCGTGTGGTGATCGCTGTTCTCCAATTGGGGCCTTACCAGGCATTGCGGTGGCGTTCCCATTTTTAGGTCACCCGAGAGGGGCGGCCAGACAGTGTTTCCGCTGGCACGTTCAAGAGGCGATCAACATGAATCCACCAGCATCCAGAACAAGAACATGGACAAAGACAGCTGGTGGTGCTCCGGTGACGACATTTTGATGATTTCACCAGAACCTGGTGATGCCGTGTTGTTTTGGTGAGTTCCGGTGGTCATGCCTTCACAGAAGCATTTTTGGAGCTTGCGTCTGAGTGTGATCTCACTAGAGGGGTTTGACGGCAAATGCACAGCTGTCGCAGCAGGCGCCCAGCTGGGTATCTCATTGGAGTCAATGACCTGTGCATACCCATTGTTGAAGCTCAACTGACCGTCGGCATCAATGCAAAGACATTACAAATAGGATCATAAGGCCGTGAAGGGGTGCGTGGCGGTTTCGGGTGGACATGTAGTCCGTTTTTCGCATTCAAATATGTGTTTCCACTAGTGTGCTAGCTACGCCGTGCAGCCAGCACAAGTTTGTTGTACCACTGTTGTTCTTTGCGTCGATGTAGTATCATTGTCGCCAATAGCAGCAGCAACAGCAGTGCCTGATGACTGCTGTCTCTCCAGGGACTACATTCCAAAGCCGGGGGTCGAGGACCCTCACATGTACAAGCGAAGGGGAAGCCTCAAGAACGGCACGATGGACACAGAAGCAGTAGCGGACGAAGCCGCTTACCACGGCGGTTGCCCAGTAATGGAAGGCGAAAAGTGGATTGCAACCAAGTGGATGAGGAGTGCGCAATACTTTTAACGAACGCACGACGCCCTGACTGGTATTGCGTATCGTCCACCTCCTCTTGCTTCATGAAAGGTGGTCCGAAGGTCCAACAGACTCACAACCTGGCCTTCAGTGGAGTGTGTGCGATAGCACGAAGCGATTTGCAGAACGCACCCGAACCAGCAGAGTCTGGGCGAAGCCACGCGCTACAATGGGCCATGTGCGCCTCTCGCTTTCTCCCAGGTAATGATAATAGTTTTCCCGGCCCAGCCTCTTAGCGTGGGCTCCTGGCGTCTCGACTCAATTCGGTCATGTCGCACCGTTGCATGCCTTGGGTTCTAGACTTGTTGGACCCCGCTTCCTAGTTTGCGCCCTGGTCAGGCGGGCGCCTGCTGATCAGTCCTCAACGGCGGTGACAGTACTGGAAGACCGCCCATGGGTGTTGCCGCCGGCATGTGGCAAGGCACCTCTCCTGGGTGCGGACGGCCTCGTTTCATGTGCTCCGCATACGCCTTCTTTCTCCCAGGTAGTAACAGCGCCAGAAGTGCATCCTGCGCTGTGTGCTGGTGGATCAATGGGACCAAAGCAACTCAAGTGCACTGTCTTCACCGAGACTGGCTTCCACCTAGCAGGTGGAGACAGTGCACAAGATACGCTTGAAACAAAGCATGAACGAGCCAGAGGAACGGCTAACCTCCTGTGGGATCCTGTGGGATCAGCAATCACCAGTATGCCCCTGACACGTGAGATTGATGAGAGCATTTCTCACAAGCAATGGAGGGAGTGGCAGGGGAGGGTAGGTAGGGGCAGCAAAGGGATCCAGAGGAGTGAGTTAGTGGCGATCTTCATCAAAAAACATTGCGCAAAAACGCGCCAAAATTATTAACGAAAGGCAACCAATCAACACAAGCATCCAATTTTGGTTTCAAACAACATGGATGGTGTGTCACACAGCCACCTGGCCCCTGGGCAAATCCCCCTTACCCACCGCAAGCGCCCGCCCACCCAAATCTTCATGCACCAACTATGCTCACACCACTCACACCGCTTACTCTATTTGCATCACATCGCATCTCGGCGTGCAGACCCAGGAGGGCACCTCAAAAGTGCACAGGCACCTCTCTCCTGACGTTGCTGCTCGACACAGTCACAAGCACCAAGCAAAGCAACTCTCCACGCAGTATTAAAAGTCAACGAAGTTCAGAGGCAAATCGTACAATGTGCAGCGCCATTGGAATGTTCCTTTGCAGTGTCCCAATTTGTGCAACCCTGTCCATGCTCTCCCAGCCCCACCCTGCAGGTTGGTGGGCATGCAATCCCTCTACTCCAACAGGTCTTGGATGAGTCCCATGTGTGCAAAATCATCGAGAGGCGTCTCGCTGCCCTGTGCTCCAGGATCGGAATGCTGCTGACAGCACAAGGGAGCGAGTCTCAGAAAACTGACTGCAAGCACAAGGCGCACTGCACAAGCAGAACTTCACACAAAGGTCAAGCACAGCAACAGCAGTCAACTCACTGCAAATGTGACCTTTGGGGCCAACCTAAACATTATGTTGGCAGTAAATAAGCCACACAAAGCAGGTCATATGCACCCATCTCACTCTCCAAGCCCCATTGGCATTGCCTGGACAAGTTCGCACTTGATGACCCTCCAGTATCAGGAGATTCAAACACATCCCATGCATGCAAGCGGACAACCAAAAGCAAATTGTGTGCCCCAAAACTGGCACCTGGAAACTAACACAATCTCCGTGCCAGAACAATGGCCCTGCGGCTACTGGACACCAGCTGCCACTCAACAGACATATTTGCACTGGTGATGGTGTTGGACATCCTGGCCATGCAAACTAATGATGTTACACAGGACACTGGGACCAGACAGCTTCCAGTTGAATACACAACGTGGTGTCTCCAAAACAGGGACAGTAGAGGAGGAATAATGCTTTAAAGGTCTGGCCCTTATCAGCTCTTGTTTGGTCTGTAGTGCACGGATGCTAGGTCATGCAACTGGGCTTGCTGTGTTGGAGTTCGATGACCTCAATTGCAACAAAATCAGGATTGCCCCGAATACTACGCCTGCGGTGTGTGCCCCATCATGCATTTGCTCACCTTTGGTGTCACTGGCGACGAGAAGTTCATCGGTGGCCGCTGGTGCATCATGTAATGGCTGGATGCCATGTACCCCATGTCCGAGCTCTTCAGGCCTGGGCCATGAATCGAATCCGCGATTGAGCCCAAGACAGACTCGTGAGCTGAGTGGGCCCTCCCGACCAATGGCTGACTGTGCGCCCCCTGCGCCCCAGGTCCACCCATACTGCCATAGTTTCCGGCCATGAAAGGCCGAAACCCATTGGGCATCCTCCCCGAAGAGTCCCCCGCCATTCTCCTGGACTCCGCATTCTGAGAGTGCACCGGGCCTTGATGGTTCATGTGAACCCCCTGGGCGCCGTGGGGGTGCATGCCATGGGCCATTGGTGGAGGCTTCTGCAGGGGCATCAGGCTGGGGCTACACGAGACGCCCAGTGGACCAGACACTCCAACCTGCTGCTGTGCAATCCCGTGTTGCTGTCCCTGATGACCCATGGGTCCCTGATGCACCCCCACGTGAGGGTGGGACTGCATGGATGCATACCCATGCCCCTGGGGCTGTGGGTGGGGACCAAAAGGGGCGTTTCGACTCATGAAAGGGGATGCCACAGGCTGACCTCCTCCGACAGGCATCAGCGACGAGGTGGGGCCTGGAGATGGGCCAGGGGCACCGTAAGGCGTGCCCAGCATGCCCTCTGGGCGACCTCCATGTGCAGCAGACCTGGCAGCCTGCTGTGCAGGAGACATGGCCAGGTCCTGTTGCACGCCATGGCCCCCTGTTGCCATTCCGAGGGAGGCATACTGATATGAGGCCGTGGCAGAGGATGCTGCTGCCACCGGCGAGCCTTGGGACTTGGGGCCATTCCCTTGCTGGCCCCCAGGCAGCCCCGGTGTGGCTGCACCTGCACTCCCCACTGCACGCTGCGAGGGTGCTGTACCACTTCCCATGCTGCTGCCTGTGCTGCGAGGCGTGTCCTGTGTCGTCCGACTGCTGTCAGGGCCGCCTGACTTGGTTGACGACTGGCTCAGATCCTGCTGCGTGGCTACTGGGGCCTTGCCTGGGGCAGGCTCCTTTGGACGTGGCTGATCTGGACCACGACTGGCGCTGGATGGCACTGCAGGCAGGGCTGCTGGGCTGGCTGTGCTCCCTGCCACAGATGGAACAGACCGACTCTTGTCTCCGATGTTGCTGCTCGCATTGCTCACCTGGGGTGCTGGAGCTGCGGGGTTTGCAAGACCCACAGTTGTTGTGCCCGCAGCCACGGTCTGCTGCTGTACACCAGGCTGAGCCGCGCGGTGCAGGTGGTTCATCTCAGTGCTGCTGGCCCGACTTGAGGGCCGAGAACTTGTGGTGGTGCTGGGCGCCTCAGCATCAGCCACAAGTGTACCAGCTGCCGGAGCTGTGGCCAGCGCATTGCCCTGGGTCTGGGAGGCATGGGAAACCTGAGTGATTCGAGGTGTCAGCCCAGGCAACTCCCTCATGGCCCCGCTCGTCTGCGCCTTGTGCTCCAGCTCCCTGGCCCTATACTCGGCCACCTGTGCCTTCAGCTTGGTGACCTCCAGATCTCTCTCCCCAAGCAACTTTTCCAGCTCCTTGATGCGGGCTCGCAAGGTGGCCACTGATGTGGGCGCATGGCTGATGCCATTGGCCACTGGAGGGCTTCTTGTCCCGGCACAGGGTGTCAGGCTGGATGGTGACTGGATGGGCTCAGTGGGCCTCTGCGGGATGGTGCCATTGATGCGTGGAAGAGGATCCAAGGGCTTTCGCACATTTTCTGAGGAGGACTGGGAAGAGGACGGCCGAGACGACAGAGGCTCCTTTGTGGGTGGCCGCTCTTCAGCTTTGCGCATGCTCTGCCGCTCCAGCGCTGGCTCTGTTTGCGCTTCGCTGGTTGTGGGCTGCTCCTGGCATGCTGTACTTGTGCTTGCCTCGGCCTCCTGTTCTTTCTGCCTGCGTCTGTCAGCTTCCCTGGAACGAACAGCTGCTTCCTCAAGTGCCTTTTGATGCTGGCGTTCCAGTTCTTCTTCAAGCATCCTGTGCAACAGATGCAAGTCTTGGTTCGCTTGTGGGCAATCAGAAATATTCAAAACTGGCACTGTCCACCACCAGGCATGTGTTCATTCATGGGTCATGACAATTTCCGAACCCTCCCGCCCTGGCACCACTCCCTCCTCCCTGCATGGTGGCCCCTTCATCTGTTTGACAAGTCGAACTTTGGTTTTCATTATGTGGAGCTGGCTCTCTGGGACTGAGTCACACCACTTGGGTTTCTGGGAGACCCACTACGCATTCCTGGCATGGCCTTGGTGCCCCTGGGCCTGGATTTGCTCTTGCCAACTACACAGCAAATGCCTCCCAAGGGCAAAACTCATCTATATGGCAAGCCCTTGAGTTGTACAGATGACACTCTTAACAAAATGGACCAAAAATCGCCAACTCCACAGAGCCTGGACCTGATTGGTGAACAGGAATGCACAGTCCTTTCTGTGCCAAAAGCAAAAAGTGTGGCCACTGCATAGCACTGGCTCATGATAAGACCAACCTTCTTTTCTCCTCTGCCTCCCTCCTCTTGCGATCCTCCTCCTCACGCTTTATGTCCTCCATGCGCTGTTTTTCAGACTCTTCAGCTTCACGGCGAACACGTTCAGCCTCTTTGCGTGCCCTCTTCTTTTCCTGTGCAAAGCGCACACTCGACAGTCACACCACCCAGCCAACCGTGTCCCAAAGCTCTTCAGTTACAAGCATGGTTTGTTTTACATCAACATTCCAGCGTCGCAACTGCCCTGCACAGTCAGAGATGGCGCCGTCATTCTCATGCTACCTTCTTTTTCATTCTCCTCTCCCTCTCAGCCTGAGCCTTGATCTGCAATCGGTATTCCTCCAGACGTTCTGCTTCTTCCTCTTCTCTTATGAGAGCCTCTTGACGTTTTAGCGACTCTGCTTCACGATATGCAACCTGCCCAATGGAGACCACACACATCAAGCACACTGTATGCGTTGCCAGCAACCACACTAACGCCACTATGGCGTAAACTTGAGCTGCTGTGTGGCAAACCCAGTGTCACAACCAAACACCAGCATACTTTCTGCACAACCAGATGTTTTGCTGTCACGCACCTTTCCATGGCAAAGTTTTCAAGATGCATTGGATGACAACTACACGCACTATGTCAACGGGCCCCAGAAGCTGGTTGAATGGTCAGCACATCTCATGCAGCGCAAACGAAAAGAAGACACTACAAGTTGCCTGTTAATCTGCGCTAAAGTACTTCAGTCATCTCACCTCAAGGTGCTCCGCAAAGATGTGGGAGATGGCATACATCTCCACCGTCCGCCTCCCAAGCTCAGCCAAGCGCAGCTCATCACGTTCGATGGTGTCCTTGACAGACTCATCCTCCTGGCCACTGCGCATAGCAGAACCATCTGCTGCCTATGTGCCAACACAAATCATATCCATAACCTACCAATGCCGGCTTCAACTGCCTCATGCGCATGCTGGATGGCCAAATGCATGGCCAAGGTCCTTTGGTACAATGGTTGTGCCTCCATACAGCACAAGACATTGGCAAGCCCACTGCTCAGACCTACTGTTGTGACAGCTACGCAAATGTAGGAGTTCACTGTAGAGCTTCTAAACTGCACAAACATGCAACAATGCAGCATGCACAGGACACCCTCATTGAAAATAGGCTAAACGTGTGACACAATGTCCCAGTCCACCAAGTGTGCTGAAACTGAAGGCCTAACTTCAGCTGACAAAGTGGCAAAATTCACTGGCCCAACTGCGGCTATCACATGCAGTGCACATCAGTGAAGTGGGTACTGTTTAGATGCCAGCACATGTTTTGATGGTAAGGGGGTGTCCAGTGTGCAACATGCTTGCTGCACAGACTTCGTTTTGATTGAAAGCATCTGCATGCAAATTGCTGGACAAACGTTACAGGACAACAGAATCTCCAGAAAAAACTAATGATAGCAAAACACAGAACCCACATGCAGCACAACAATACACTGCGATGCCATTTAAGGCATAGATCCACAGTCGTCAGCTCACCTTTTCGTCTCGGCCACATATTGGAATAATTTCATTGGCTGCGTTCTCAAGCACTTGAAGGATGTCACCCCCCAGAAAGAACACACCCTGTTGGCCGTCGACTATCACATTTGGAGGATCAGCCGTCGCAATCTTCCCCTGTCAAGGAAGGCATAGCAAAATACTATGTAGCACAAAACCATCACGCCACAGTGCAAAACTGACATCAACACTAGCCAGAAGCTCTTACAGGTGCTAGGCACATCTTGCTGAGTCCTTTGGACATGCCAGCAGATTAAACTGCAAGGAAGTGTACAGCAACGATAGCTGGTTGTTAGCTCATTAACAGCTGAAAGAAGGCACCTCTGGCCTGATACACAGCTGCCTACCTCAAACCACAGCCTCGTGTTCTCTTCGAGCTGTCTGCATCCACAGAAGAGCGCATCCATGACAAGTGTTGAAGTCACCTCCTTCTCATTGAAGAAGCGCTTTACAACACCCTGAAGCAGGTCACACAACAGCCAGAAACGTCACACAGTTGCGCATACTGTTGAGTGCACTCAATGACTGCTGCATCATCTCTACAGCACACAAATTGTATTGTTCAGGAGCAGGTTGCCCACAGCAAGCACAGCAAGCACAATTCCTACCTTGTCAATACACGAAAGGAAGCCCTGTCTTGTCCCTTGCCTCGTTCCTTTCTATCAAGGACGTCCTTCACGAACACAGTGCTGCTGGTGTCTCCAATAATTTTGTTCACAAGGGGATGCACATTGCACAGCCTGCATATTCATGCATTCATCGTGTATCAAGTCCCCAAACGCCTCACCTTCAGCACGATCTCCTCCAGTTCCTGGACGGCCTCCTTCTTGATATCATCATCGAGGGCCCTCCAAAACCTCTGGAACGCCCCAGGGTCCTCTTTCACCCACACCATCCTCTCACGACGCTCCTCGACGAACCGTCGGCATATCCCCTCAACATTTGTGAGGTAGACACGGACAAGCTCCCTCCGGTACTGGGGATCCAGACAGCGGAACGGCCGGTCAACGCGGTCCCTATAGGATGGACACCACACCACACTCATGCTTGGTTTGCAAATGCATCCACAAGGATACACTGATGCTGTTAATCAGACAGCATGGAATATGAACACCAGAATGAGTCATTTGTCTGGCCTGTGCCAGCAAACCAGCAACATTCCCGCAACATCGAAAACCATCTCCTCAACAGCTCCCACAGTGTTCAGCTGAACCGAAGGAAAGAAAGAACTGAAAGATAAGGAAGCCCAAAATGAATTCAAGATGGATCAGCAAACAGCGCAAGGCGCATGTCATGGGCAAATTGCTGTGACCAACAGAAATATGCAAATCATATAAAGGATGTCAGGACAACGCCAGGCCATGCCCATTCCATCCAAAAGGCATGGGCGACGGCCTCACTGAGCTGTACTCCAGTACAGACAGTGCAACAGAGTGCTGCCTTCAAAGTTCTTGTCCAAAAAAGGCACATGCTGTCTCAGAATTCATCGACATGTTTCTTGCTTCTTCACCAGACCTTGTGTGTCGCTATGGGCATGTTCGATTCCAGCCACTTTCCAAGCCACTTTCACAACATGCACCTCCACTGTGGAGCCACATTGCTCAGGACCCCAACTGCACCCCATAACATCTCTTCACACTCTCTGGCCTGCAGACAGTGGTGGAACCTCTCAATCGGTCCACAGACAATATTTCAAGGTCCTAATCAATGGCGGGGCGGGTCAGCAACCTCATCTGCACAGGCTTGCAAAGCCTTGACAGGTGGCGGGCCACAGTGCGGCTCCTCACCTGATAACCTGTACTTGTGCCTTAATCACCAGTGTGTCAGACACAGTGAAACCATCCAAAACCTTTGAGAGCTCCATGAACTTCTTCCAGCCCCAGTCATGTTCTTTCTTGCAGAACCGATGCAACGTATCTGGCAGGGTACAGCACACGTCACCATCTCATCAGCACAGCTTCTGTAGATTGCATTCACTCCAACCCAATCTGCACAGCGAGGCGTACTCTGAGGTGAAAACCTTTTTGCACAGACAAAGACTTGCCCACAAACCACATGCCGCCAAAATTAATAGATTGCTTTTTGGGGTTCCAAGAAGAATTCCAGCCACTGCCAAACGCAGAATTCCACACAGGAAGGCAGGCATACATCATAAGGCTTTGAAAATGCAAATCTGGCAGCTTTGGATCTCAGCCATGGACAGGGTGCAGCAGCCATCTTACTTCAGCGCAGCACAGCTGCCAAGCATCTCTCTACCTGAATATTTCGACTTTTTGGGGTCCTTGTTCACCACTGCAATAGTGAACTGAGCGAAGTGGCTCCAGCCTGCGTTGCAAAAGGACAGCCAACACAAATGGACGCTGTGAGAGACAAACATGAGATGGACAATGCAAGCTGCGGCAGCAATGCAGCTGCAAAGGCATGATCCCCTGCAAAAACTTGAAGCACACAGTATGAGGTGAATGCCAAGGCTTATTGTGAGTCATTCGTTGTGTGGTCTGATCCAAAAAGAAGACAGCAACTACGAAGGTGCCCGGGGATTTGACTCTCACCTGGCAAAAGTTTGTCGTAGTCTGCCACACACAGGAAGAGTGAAAGGTGGTTGCAAACATCGCAGCCCTGTGGGTAGACCAAGATATACCTGTGCAGTCATCACAGACATTTCAACACATGAAACGACATCGATGCACAAGTGATGCACATTGCAGCCAAAACAGCAGCTGATGAAGCTCCGATTGCATAACACAGGCACACAAGGAAGAGCAACCAATGCTCCACATCCGTTCACCAGAGATCTACAGATCTCATCACAGCAATATGGTGATATTGCTCCTCAACGCAGATGGAAGCAGCACAAAAGCCAGGTGATTCACATGCTCTCAAATGTGCCTGGGCTTCTGTGCTTGCAAATCGCGATGATCACAGCCTATTGATGGCATACATTGGACAGTTCGAAAGAAGGTTTTCCACATTGACATTCGAGCCATCAGGTGCAATATGACAGAGCCCATGCACTTGTCACTGTATGGCTTCCTAATCAGCGCATTATTGATCCTTCCAAGTTGTGACACACGATCTCAGCAAGTTGAACCCCGGTTGGAAAAATCGCAAGGAATCTCAATCAGGCATGTCAACACCACCCTCCAGATGGCAGCAACAAGGTAGAGCATGCGTGGGCTGACGCAAATGGTGGGTGAGGCATCAGGATTTGGCGCCATGCTCTGCGGGGCAGGCGATGTGGCAGTGTTGGGCCTAACAGAATGAAGGGGGCTGGGTGGTCGATACACAACGGCTGGCAACATTGCCAGTCCCTTGGGACCGACAGGGCGTGATCCTCACCACTTGTAGCTGCCCACTTCGAACACGGTGCTCCGGAGCTCCCGCTTGCTGGTCTCAGAGAAATTCTCGATCTTCCACGTGAACTTGCCGTATAGCTCATGCGGCAGGGGCCCTGGGCAACAGCACCCCACACCCTCACAACAGACTCCTCCCAAGCCCGCGGCCGCGCCCCGTGCGCCGCCAGGCCACCAAATCCGTTAACCCCGCGAGGCTCCCCCCACCCACCGTCGCTGTCCTCCTCCAGGTACGACGAGCTGGTGGCCACGCAGTCAATCGCGGACCGCCGAGACCGCAGTTCCACCGCCTCCGGCGTGTCCGGCGTGGGCGACAGCACGCCGTCCGCCACCGGCGGGCCCTTCTCCTTCGCCGTGTTGCCCGCGTTGAGCACCTCCCTCAGTCTGGCGTTAGACATCTTCCCCCGCCCCCCCTCTCCCGCCTCCCCTCCGCCGCCCTCCGCCCTCGGCGCCCCAACGCACCGGCGCGCGGCCGCCCTCCGGCCCCTCGCGCCTCCCCCCGGGGCTGCCCGTCCGATCGGTTAGGCCGGCGCTCAGCTGGGCACCGCCTGGCGGAGGTCTACAGGTGCATCGCGCTCCCACGAGGCTCCCTCTCCGCCCAAGCCCGCAAGAGCGCCGAACGCGCCACTCGCCTGTTGGACGGGACGGGCGCTTGGCGTGCCGCTGGGGGGGCCCCGTGCGCCTGGGCGTGAGGGCGCAACCTGTCGGCGCGGCGCACAGATGAAAAGCTGGCGGGGGGTGCGCAACTGGGCCGCAGCGGGGGAGCGCGGAGCTGCCCTCGTGGCGGTGTGGGGCGCCCGTCGCCTTGATGAAGGGGGCCGCCATTCCACCCGCGCCATTTTGGGCGTCAAGAGTGGCGCGATTAGCGATAAATCAGGAGAAGAGGCGGTCTGCCAGGGGTCAGGGAGGGGGGGCAAAATTTGCTGTCCGCAATGGGGAGGGTCGCCCGAAGGCAGGCGATGCACGTTGCATAGTATGTGGGCCACATGCGAGGCGGAGGAATAAGGGTGTGGGCAGACTGCAGACTGGCGTGTGCGCTGCGTTCTGGCGGGGACGATGCCTCCGGCCGCAGGGACTGAGATGGGGGAATCTTGCATACCCGGTTTGGCATTTTTGATGCGCCAAGCTACTTAGGATTAAGCGCTGGTTGTGCGTGCGACTTTGCCAATCCGTTGGCCCTTGTGGCTCGCACTGCCAGGAATGGGGACACCCGCTGAGTAGTTCTGCCAAATGTGAGGTAATTTAATGGATTGAATGTTGTTCATGGCACGGATGCTCAAGATGAGGGATACGGACAACAACGCTGCACCTGAACCACGTCAAGCGGCAATCTGGCATGTGCCAAAGTAGACGGAACGTTGCCCAATCACCAACAGGGCCATGCGAGGCTTCCCTGGTCGCTGGAGCTGCCCCACAGCCCAAAGACAGTTCAGAGTCTGCTGGGAGAGTATTCTCAAGCTGATACTGCACTAAGGCTATTGCTGCACCTCGACGCAGTTAGCAATGCGTGCAATGTGCCTTGACCCTTGTGGTTGATGGCAGAAAGTTGAGAGAAGAAAAGAAATCTTGCCTTAGACACAGGCTAAAATCTGAGCCAGGAGCAATGTTAGCGACATGAAATCCACCCCTCAAACGGTCACCAAAATAGAAGGACAAAGACACCAGGAGGTTCACTGGCAACGGGCAGCTCCAAGAAGCCCGATAGATTTTGCCCTGCGGCAGGACTGGCAGTTGTGTGGACACGAAAGCCCTGCAAAGTCATTTGCTGGGGTAGCAGGGTGCCCAATACTGCCAGGTTGCGATTTCCAGAATCTTCTACAATCAATGATCAGGCATTGCAGTCGTCACTTTCGATTCTTACAGCAACCCACACTCCACTGTGAGACCATCCCACATCAGGCACTGCTGGATCAACCTTTGGCCAAATTCCAGGCAATGCAAGCAGGTACATCAGCAGAGAAAAAGGCTAGGCCACGTGTTGCTTCCAATTTGTGGCTTCAGTTTGGGGCTTCGAACACATTGCTGCCCCATCCTGTGCCACCAATATGCCTCATGATCATCTCCACCTTCAATCAATGAATGGCTTATGGATTGGATGGCATCAGAAGTACAGCTTTGAGAAGAACCACCGATTCTTGCCTGTCTTGAACTTGTCCTCCAGCAGATCCTTGGCAGCCTGCATGGCAAACATGTGTGAGGTGCAGCAACATGCCAATGCACACATATCAGCCTCTGGCAAGATGTGTGAGATCCAACAGATGTGCTCTGCAGTATATGATTTGTATGCTCTCCAGCCAAGGCTAAGCCAACAACAAATCTACACCTCTTCATATAAAAGGCCGCGGCAACCCAAAACTTGATGCAGTGATGTCTCTCGTTTTTCATAATCTCGTCTGTAGTTTTGGACAATCAACAGCTGACTTGCACAAACATGCGCCAGGAGACCAAACCCACAGCAACCTCTGCAAGAAAGCTCACAAAACAATGAGGGAAACCAAATCACCTTGCGAGCTTCAGCCTTCTTTGTTGAGTTCTCAATGGCATCGGAAGTGACAACATTCTTCAGGTCGACATCCAGGGCGTACCGAGTTGGCATCATGTGGTTGTAGTTCACCAGCTTGATGAACGTCTGTTCACAGCCAAGACAAATCAGTAGACCTGCAAACAGGACAAAGATGCCACAGGCAGCTGCACTGGTCACAATACAGCATTTTCACTGGAGCTGAGCTTCACAAGTCGCAGCAGACACGAGCTCTTAATGAGTAAGTCAGCAACATCTTCCCCACACACCATGCACGAACAGTCACTCTAGACCACCACAACTTCGATTCTTGAGGACAAATGTTCGATCTACAAGAACTGGGGACAATCAATCCAGCAGCAGTGCAGGAAGCTTGGGGATCCATACAGAGCAGAGTTCTCGCCACTGACTCTCCTGATGCAAACGACCAGACCCAGTAGTACCTTGATTTTAGTCTTCCTGTCCTTCTTCTTCTTGCTATCCTTTCTTCTTATCTGGACAACCATATCCACTCAAATAAGAAACCATGGAACACAGAGCAACCAATTCTGATGGCAAACAACTGGTGCTGATGGCCCTGCACTCCCACAGGCCCCCGAGGAAGTACCCAGTATAAGGTTGTAATCAGTAGATGGCCGCTCTCGAGTTACAAACAGATGCTGACAGTAGTATTGCACTCTATGTGGACACTGTTCCCAATTTCTCCCTGTCCATTTCCCAAACTTACAGCGGCAAAGTTGCAATCGGCGATTGGCGCAAATTGCAATCCCTGTGGCAAGAATCGGGCATGTGCAAAAAGGAAAGAGGCGAAGGATTTCCACTGCTTTTAGGTTCACAAGTGCCCACAGTTTTTGAGGTGCTCTGTCAAAACAGAAAAAAGCAGTAAGAGCAACTCTGTGCTGTTGGTCAGGACAAGACACCAATCTTTCCAAACTATAGAACCCTGCCACACCCAACATCATTTCCAATCCCCCGCACCCCCACCCCCTCCCAACCCTCGGTAAAGAGAATTCCAGTGAGACGAGTCAGTTCACTCACCCTCCTGGGCTCCTTGGCCAGCCCGCACACGAGCGCGTGTCCGTACATCCTCCCGGAGGTGCCGTCGTCATACGTTTTGACAATGACTGCCTTCTTCCCGGAGTACCTCCCCGAAAGCAAAATGACCACCTTGTTGGCCTGCCACGGCACTGGGTGCATGTTAATCCTGGCTGCAGAATTCCCCCAGACGGCGGACCCCGGAACAGGGGCCAAGCAAACGTGCGGCTGAAGGCAGACGGACGATGCGGCTGGGAAGCATGCAGATCACGAAAGGCGGCAATTGGGGAACTGCCCCTCCAAGGTGGTTCAACCCAGGGTGTGGTGGTGAACCAACAAGGAGAGAGGGGGGTGTGCAGCGGGCGGGCAACGCGGAGAAATGGGCACAGGCAACCACGCCGCCGCCACAATCGGCCCCGGGCACAGCGCACAAGCATCCAAGCTACAGTGGTGCCAATGGATGATCAAGAATCGAGAGATCCAGGGAAGCAGATTGGCGGAGTCTCAAATGCGACAGGGCGCGCTGTGTGGCTGCCGATCGGCGACACTATCCCGTGTCTGCTGCGAGCGCATCGCGAGGCCCTGCGTGCCCCAACACAGTGCCGCCGTAATGTTCTCCAAGAGAACAGATCGCCTGGTCGCACCTTGAGGAACTTGACCATTGTGTCGACCCTTTGGCGGAACCGACGGCTCGCGCTGCGTTGCCCGCCAGTCGAGAGTGGGCAGCACCCTGCTGGAGCGCTGCGCGTCTGGGTCCCCGTCCATTTGGTACGGGCACCAGATGACCAGCATTGCGGTTCATTCTTTTTCGGATAAAAAATAGCAAGTGATGTTCAAATTTCGGAAAAGTACTTGACGAAGGCAGGCAGGATCGAGGGAAGGCGATCCCTGAGCGGGAATTGCACGCTCGAGCCCACGGCAACGGTTTACAGCCCGAGGCAAAAGGACAACAGGCGTTCTGTCCTTTATGTTCAGTCCGTTCATCAATGTCCTCAATGCAATTCCTAGTGCTTCATAATCTTTTCATGCATTCAGTCATTAATAACACTCAATCAGTTCTAGCTGCAACAGTACCACGGCGGCGTTATTCACGAGTGCTCGTCGGGTTGCGTCAGCACTTGTGGGCCGCATGCCAACAGTTGGAGTGCGCTGCACGAAGATCAGCTTGCGACATAAATGAAGCCTGCCACTCAATCGCCCCAAGGTGAGGCGCTTCTACGGGTATGACATAATTAGTAATAAACAAATAACATCGCAGCCTTTGCGACAAGCTGCATGAAGGTCACCATTCAAGTATCTAATTCCAGCGTTCTTGTTCAGTATCGTGGAAGCTCATGTTCAATGCGGAATGCACAAGCCGTAAGGACTGGCAGCTGCAAACGCAAAACTGAAATGTCCGCAGTCAGCCGCACGCCCTCATAAAGTCCTGCACTCGTGGCACAGCAGTGTAATCTGGCTCTTGCCAACCCTGGAAGCGCCGCGCTGCCCATGGAATGGTGCGGGGGATCTTTGGGTGCTGCAGGTTAAAGCAGCTCGATAACCGGTGTGAGACAACTTGGATGAGTATGCGGCAGCGACATGGCCACAAGAGTAAAAATGGAGACAAGACGATAAACGCGGGCTTAGGGTCGCAGCAGGTTGCGTTGTGGATGGGGGCAGAACTCTCTCCCTCCTTGGGGCGAAAATAGAGTGCATTGAAGACGACTATTCGACGCCACGGAAAGTACGGAGGTATAGTGACAGCCAGGGCCATCCCAATGATGTGCGAGGAAGCGGACATCGCATGCCACGTTGACGCTGTAGTTTGCCTGCGGTCAATGCCACGTAACGTCTGCGCATCAGGTCCCTGGGGATTGGGCGCACTGTGGCCCACCGTTGCTGCACGAATGCTGCGCGAGTGGCTGTGTCACAACCATCCGGATATGGAAACAGCCGTGAGGACGCGATGCAGACTTGTGGTTCCCCTGGGCAAAAGCAGAACACTAGAGGAGGGTACTACTACCTACCCGCACGAAGGCGTAGAATCAGCGAACGATGTTCATTACGACCATATTCCACCACGACAACGCCTGCTTTTCACCAAACCAGAAGAGCCAAAACCTGTAGTCAACTACACGTGCTACATGCTAAACCTTTGCACGTATGACAAACTCGCTCATGGAGACATCCCTTCCTTCTGCTCATCCAACTCTGACAGCAACATGTTGAATTGGTCTACTGTATGCTTTGTCTCCTCAACCTGCCCCTGTAGCCACCAACATTTTCAAAACTCAAGGTCGCCCATGAAGGACTTCCAAAGAGAGGATGTGAATGAGCCCTTATGAAGGAGAGGGTCTAACTTTGCTGGTTTGGATATTTCATCAGAAACAATTCATCACTCAGCGCTCTTGAACACATACAAATAGACGCCAAGGCCAACATGTGGACTACTGTGGGAGTGCATCATAGGGATGAATACCACCAGACTGCCAAAGAAAGTCAACACACAAGCCAAGCATGGGACTTGCAACAAGTTCAAACTTGCATTCGAAGTGAAGAAGACACCCAAAACAAGCCATGTTTCCGCAGACTTTGTGTTGTTGGCAGCAGGGAAAAACTGCAGACAAAAGCTCGATTCTCAAATGACTGGGCCATCTCTAAACTCATAGAACTGCAAACATTTCACAAAAGAACACTCGCAGTACACAAACATGGATACAGCATTGCTGGCTGCAAATGAAACGGGCACCAGTTCAGAAAGAACACCACGTGGAATGCCCACCCTTATTTTCTGGTACTCTTGCGCAACACCCATCATAGGTTCACCAAGATTCTGGTACTGCTGAAGCTGGACCTGCAGCTGTTGATGCACAAACACAACAGTAATGGTGAGCTTGACAGGCAATCGACACAGATTTTGTAGTGTCAGGGTGTGCGAAGGGCACAAAATGTGGGATGACAATGCTGGGCTGCAGCTGATAACTAGCAGAGAATGTTATCCCATGTTCAGGCTTCCATTCCCAACTGTGCTTGTTGGCCTTTGTCCAATCCCCTGCTTGTTGACCTTTTCCCATCCCCTGTTCTCAGGGAAACCACCAGCAGCAACCTGCCTCCCACAAGGCGTCCAGTGCCCAAATTTGCTCATCACTGCATGGCAGATGAAGGAACAACAAGCAAATATTGGGACAGTTCCCTGTGGGCATGGGTGCAACTGGAGCAGTCAACAAAAGTAGGCATCTTCGCATTGCACTCATGCATACGCTGTTGTTGCCAGAAAATTAACACTGCGGGCCTCATTGCACCAGTATGTACTGACAGAAGGAGCACAGCAGTTTGAGTCAAGACTTGGTGGAGTCCCCATGACTGCAATTTTATAATTTCATAGTGGACTTCCCACATGACATCAGCACAGGTGCTTGGCACTCACGCTCTTGACTCTAGACATGATGCTGCTGCCTGCAACTTCCAATGCAAAACGAACTAATTGCTGCAAAGCCATACCTGACTCAGTCAAAGCCATACCTGATTCAGTCTTGCATGAAGAGTGCTCTCTTCAGCATCCAAGACCTCGCTGACTTTCTGAAGTGCTTGCACAGAGTCTGTTGTGTATGTAACCTCCTTGAGCTCAGCATCGCAGCGCTCTACAAGCCTGTGGTCAGCCATTCACTGAACAATGGTAATTATCCCAAACACTCATCCGTCATGCCTCAGGTCGCAGTTGCAGGGGTGTTCAGAACATCTCATTGAACCTCATCGAGGCACAGTGCAAGCTTGTGGTCTGAAGCCCCTCCCAACAATACAGTGGGGTAGGGGCTGTCTGTGCACTCACTTGCCAGTGGTCTCCAGCTGTGATTCCAGGCAGTCAAGTTGAGCCTGGAAATGTCAAGGAATCAACTCACACTCAGTTGCATACATTTGCACAAAAGGCAATGGATAACACTGCCAATGCAGGACGAATTGTTAACAACAACGCACAGAGAGCTGCACACCAGCTACACAGCATCATGCTGTGCAGGAGAAGCAGCAAAGTCTTGGCTTCAGCATGCTGTATTTTGTGCTTGGGCCCACCCATGGCGGCACAGCTGCAACAGCAGCATCCTCTTTTGCTCCGGACCAATGAGTGGCATTGGCAGGCATGGGCATGTTCAGCATCATATCAGTAAATCAGTTGTAGCAGCCTCGGACAGATTTCTGACAGTAATTGAAATGGCGTGGCCTAAACTGGCCAACCGTTGCCAGGCCACCAGGGCACTGCTACACAATCTATGCAAGGCGCATCGCCAGAATGGACGACAAGCTACAAGCTGGACATTTGCATGCAATACCCAGAGGTACAGTGTACGTGGCCAAGCAGCTGGAACCACAGCACAAGGACTTCATCACGGCAGTGCTTCAGCTGCATGCCATACCTTGTAGCATTCGATCTCTGATCCATGCACATGGTGATCAATGATGCCTTTCAAATTCCTCCATGCCTCCACCTGTTGGTCCATGCACTCTTTGTAGTTCTTTGCAACATTCAAGACAGCCGACTGGTTGGCAGGCCAGGATGCTGCTATGGCTGCAACCTTGGATACCATGTGCTTCTCAATCGCCTTTGGAACATCTGCAATTCCCCAGTAGGCACATCAGCCATGCAAAATACAACAAGTGCCTTAACCACAGGAATCACCTCACCGGGAGAATGTTCACATCAATTCTGCTTTCTGACCAGCCAATTGAGGCAGGAAATTGGAAGCCCGGGAGGGGGAGGTGTGGGTTTGTAAGGAACTCAGTATGGTTCTGCTCACCAGTAATGGGCGACAGCTTGACACGTTCTACTCAAGCAGCCCATTTGTTCCGAAACACTGCCAGGCAGACAGTATCATAGTTCCCTCCTCCCCGAGACATCCTGTCAGGCATAGTTCTGTGCCTTTTTTCCAGTGCATTCAGGCACTTCTGTATCACTTTCTGGTGTCAAAGGAGTAATCAACACGCTTGGTATTGTGGGATGCCATGCTGCCTGCAATTTTCTTCTTTTCGAAAGAATCACAATGGCAGCAATGGGCACACAGCTGCGTTAGCAGTTGTTTCGACAAGCGGTAAGAATCAATTGGCTCAGGCAACCACCATGGGCATACCTGCATCTGGTTCACAGCACATTTCATCGTCGATGCACCACTCATACAGCATCCTCGTCCTGTCTGCCAGTCTCTGTTCCAGAATTGGAGTCAATAACGCATTGGTTCTCTGAGACACAGCAGATAACACGAAAATCACAAGCAGCTGCTGGTGGGCCATTTTGACACTCGCAATCACTGCCCACAGACGTGCTGTGGTGCAGCCTGAGAGTAGCGGCCCCCAAAATGGGCACATGCCCATGTGGTCATTCTTGATTCTGCAAGCTCTTGTGAAGGCTGTAGTGCTTGTACGTACCTTCTGCTCATAGTTCTGCTGATAGGACAAGACTCAACACTTGCCCACAGACATCACCATTCTTTATGCATCGGTGATGACAGCAGCAAAGCTAACATAGCCTGTGGTCCTGCAAGTTTGGATGCTTCAATAATGCCTGCAGGAAGCTTGACTGACAGTGGGATGCATATGTTGTGCAGCCTCTGGCAGGTCCCACACCTTTGCCTCATTCACTTGTAGGTTCCTTAACACCAGCTGCTGGCCCGTTATTCCCAATATGTGGTCTGTAGTTCCAGCAAGTGAGGAACACACAGAATCTGGCAAGAGCACAAAACTGCATGGATTGTTTTCCATGTGCACAGTGACAATTGGTGTGACCAACAACACATCCACTGACTCGCCACTACAGAATCCTTGCCGAGTGAGCAAAGGCATGTACCCTGGGTGAAGGAAGGGAGATTTGACAGGCAAACTTGCACAATTCATTGGTGCACTGTCTTCCAGGCGCCTGCACCCGGCCAAAGAATTTGCTCCACTGCCGTGCACCTGCACTGTGAATCCTCAACACGATCATCATTTGGGCCCAGTGATATCATGGCACCCTGTCCAGTGCTTGTGACTAATTGCTGAACAACAGAATGTCTGTGTGTGTCTGTCGTGTTAAAGGTCACTTGCATGGAGCCCGGAATGGGGCACACCTGCGCCTTGAGCTTGAACGTGCTGGCCACAAGCAGCCCTTGCAGTGCTGGTGCAGCTGGGTGCAGGAAGGCGCAACCCCTGCGCAGCAGCTGCTACCTACACACAAAAGCACATCATTTAGAGTGCAAGGCAAATAGCCTCATGAGGATAACAACAGCCATTCAGGGATTCCGACTTGAGGCTCCACACATGTTGAAGATCGTCTTGCAACAGCAACAGACATGACATTTTCTAACAGTGATACTCCTATGAAACCATTAAGAAAACGGTCACAGCAACAAGGAGTGTGGACTGGGAAGGCATTGCTCTTGTTGATCACTGAGAATGGTGGATCCTCTCCGCGACCCATGGTGACCCATGGTGGGTCATCTGAGTCTCAAGGACGGCTGCACAATAGCATCCCAATAAATATCATCCTTTGACAGCGCTACAAATTATGTGCAATTGGAGAAAAGGAATATAAAACATGACTCAATGTAACTTGACTGTGCATGTTTGAAAACATAAACAGTTGTGGCACACCAATGGTACTCCCAAGGAAAGAACAGTCTGCTCTGTGTCAGCAAAATCTGCATTCGTCATACAAGAGATGAGTAATCCAATGGGTGTATTTCGAAAGCACAATCGTATACAGTAAATTGACAATAACCAACAATACACCAACAACTTCGCACAGCTGTGAATATCTTTAGAGACCCAGCCTTTGAACACAATTGAAACAGACAATGGTGGCAAGGTACTTGTCTAATCCTTTGTGCACTGGTGCCAATTACCTGCAGACTGGTTCTCACTGAGTACAGAAGCTTCAAGTCTTCTGGTGAGAGTTCCTGACCTTCAATATCAACTGCACATTGGGCATCTTCAACCCACTCTACTATCTCTGTCCAAAGGGCAACCTCCTGAAGATAGCTGTTGGTGCAATACAACACGAAGTAGCAGTAATGAGGTGGAAAGAAAGCCAGAAATCCACGTCCAACCACAGCAACGACTGCAAGCCCATGTTTTCCTGCTTTGCATGCTTCTCTGTTGTGTGTTTTCAAGCTGCCATTGGCAGCTTTGGCCAGCATCTTCTTCAGTGCGAAAAAGAGCAGCTCATGAGGGAATTGCCACTTTTGGCCTGTTTCCCAAAGCCAAACAAAATTTCATGGACATGACTTGGCAAACATTACAGTTGAAGTCAACCATTACTTCCAGCGTTTAGCGGCATTTGTATCCCACTTCCTTGCTTTTCAGTTTCTGAGAGCGTCACATTGTTGCTGTCGACGCCTGGCCACCTTCAGGTCCGACCGGCAAACCAGCACAGCAGCAGGGACGCGATTCTTCTGTGCCCTAAACAAATGGTTCCGCAAGATCGCAGTATTTTCGATGACATTGCTTTCCATATTCCAAGCTGAAGCTAGCGATGGGACACACCTTCTCCTCTGCTTCGCCAACTCCTGCCTGGCAGTCTGGAGATTGTCCGCATCGTGTCGAAGCAGGCCAGAGGCTACATGCAGGCAAGGGTGCAGTGTTTGAACAGCCCCTCCACAAAAACACCGTACAAGCTCGCTCCCAGGGGTAGTGAGGTTCAGGCCGAACGGACACTGTTCCGTTGTTAACCGTCGTCTACAAGTGTATACATGACGTAAAGTCCCCACCAGCGTGTAAACAATGCAGTGCTCAGACTCGAGACCGCCATTCCCTGGCCCTGATAAAGAAGTCGCAGGCTAACCTTCATCCCACGTCATCAGGGAAAGGGTGCGACTTTCCTTGTGTCTGAGACCACCCAGTGGAAGTTCTCGACCATCACGTTGCTTGCAACGTCCTTGGAGGACAGTGGATCCGGCGCACATCCACAATGAAAGAACACCAGACGGCCCACAGCGCGCAGGGCGGCATCTCCAATCCTCGCTCGCATGGTCCATCGCCGACAGGCCGAAACGCACAAAAATCGCACGCAAGGCGCCTTTTGGTTCACACAGGAACAGAGATGCGGCCAGGCTTCCTCCAGGGAGACACGCGGCAGGCGCCGTCGCGACCGCCATCAGTCCGACCGCGTTTGCGCTGTAGCCACCTGGCGACTGGAGTGCATTGACGACGCATGCCCAGAGCTGCCTGAAGAGTGGATTCTCCCGCAGCAGCGCATCCGTGGGGCGCCGTACGCCCACTCCAGGGTCGCCGTCCAGGATCGCCATGAAGCGGTAGGTCGGCGGAGCGCCCGGCCAAGAGCCGAGGCAGGAAGCACTGAGCGCTCCGGCCCTCCGGTGCCCTCCCTGGGAGGGCGGCAATATGAATCTGGCATCGTACCCCGTGCACCCTACACTTTGGGCATCCTTAGCAAAGGCGCCAAAGTAGGTCAGTTGGGGGCCCAGTGACAGTAGGGGTCCCTATTTTGCGGCCCCGCTCGTGGCCAATAAAGGGGCTGTTCGCGCAGCTGCATAATGACCACCGTTTCACTGGGTGAGTCACTTATGAATCAGCTGGCGAGGGACTCATGTCTGACACGTATGATGACTGTGTGGGATGGCCCGAGTAGGCCACCACCGACTAGAAAGAGAAAAAAGCAAAAGCAAAAACAAAAACTGGTCAAGAGCTTGCGCTTTTTGTAGTATGGCAAGCTGGTCATGAAAGTTGAGAGGAGTATTGCCTCAAGGGGCGCTTGGTGACGACTGAGCGATACCCTACGCTGCAAGAGTATTTCCGTGAAAGCTGCCTCACCGGTATTGACCGCGGCTCTCAATATCTGGTGGGGCTATGTGTCCTGAATAAGGATACCGCCCAGTTTGGGCGTGTGTCCTGCCTCGAGGCCGATTGCGCAAGGCTAAGGGGTGGCTGGCCTGAAGAAGGCTAGAAAGAAGCCATGCACGACCAAAAGTGTGGGCCCACACCTGATGGTTCTTTCCAGGGTGGACTACCCCATGCAAGGGCTGCATGTGTTTACTTGTTCATCCATCACCCACAGCTGAAATATTGTTGTGGAGAGAATGTACGGGCTGGCTGTGCCGCCGGTCGTTTCATCACATCATTTTGGTACAGATCCAATCCCCATATGCTGATGTCTCTTTCCAGCTATGGGTAGGGTCTGAACTAATGGTCCTAGAGCTGTGCTCTGGACCGTATTCTTCAGTCGTTTGGGCCCCAAGAAACATGTTGAGATGTGTCTTGCCTCAACATGGGGATGTGCTGGTGTGTTGCCCAGCCTGCCTACTCTTCGGTTGTCCCGAAACGCTGAGTTTGTCGCTGAACAAGTGACAGCCCTGAATGTCGCCGAATAAGTGACAAGATCGGAAAAATGTGGGAAAGTCACTGGATAAGTGGCAAAGAAAAGGAAAGACTCCTGAACAAGGAGTTTTGGATCGATCAGAGTGCCCATGATTGGGCTGGCTGCGCATGAGAGGGTGTCCTGGTGGCTGATGATTCTTTCCAGCCATGGGGCCGCTCAAGTGTGTGTTTGTGGGGCTGTGCCCCCAGCCGCTCGATTTACAGGCGTGTGCCTCAAGGAACATGCTGGGATGTCTCTTTCCCCAGCATGGCACTGAGCTGATGCTACTTTCCAGCTCGTGCATCCTTTTGGTGTGCATGACCTGATGCAAAATGATGTTTGCCACTGAGAAAGTGGCCGAAATTTACTTGCCACTGTAAAAGTGGTGCTGCCAATGATACAAGTAGTGCAGCCTTGATTGGTACATACCACTGGAAAAGTGGTTATGCGTGGTTGCCACTGAAAAAGTGATGCAGCCTGTGAAATTTGACGGGAATGGTGAATGTATACTACTGAAAAAGTGGTTGTTTCTGACTGCCACTGGAGAAGTGGTGTTGTCCTTGAAAGTGGACAACATGTTTGAGTGTTTACCGCTGAAAAAGCGGTGCTGCTCCTGAAAAAGGAGTTTTGAGACTGTGGAGAGCTGTAGGATCAGTTTCTGAATAAGAAACTGAAGTTCAAGACTCGTTTGAGGGGATATGCTGGAAAAGCATGTTTTGCATCTGATTGCAATGGGTGCACGATTGAATCCCTGCCAACGGGATGTATGCATGGCAGTTTCTGGAGAAGAAACTGCCTATTCTGAACTGATTATTGGGTTGGTTTGAAGAAGACCATGCTGAAAAAGCATGGAGTGCATTTGCTTGGAAGTGGTGCTTGTTTGGTCCCTGAAAAAGGGACTTGCATGCTGATACGGTTGCTTTTGTAGATGAATTAGATGTATTTGATTACCCTAAATGGGTCTGAGTTGGGTAAACTAGCCTTGTGGTGGTTACAAAGGACATGGGACAATGAACAGAGCAATTAAAGACAATCTTGTATAATGTACAAATGTAGTAACCGCCCGGGGATTCCGACTCCCCGTTTCATCCGACCTGTGCGCCCGCAGGAGCAACGAAGCTCCCTGCATCATTGGTTTCGGAGCGCGGCGCGTTCGAGCGGCGAGAACACACCGGCCGACGGTCGGGATGGCGAGTGGGGATCCTCGCCCGGAGTCTGGGAATCCGGGGGGCGAATCGGCCGGGCAGTTGGTGCCCTATCGAGGCGGGCCGACCCCCATGGAGCTGAATGGAAGCGGTGGAGGAGTGACGGTCGCGCAGCACGGAGAAAGTGAGGATCGGCCGGAGCAGCTATTGCTGCGCCACGTGGGGGCTGTGGCCGCGGCTGCTGCGAGGAGAGCGACCCTTTTTGCGGTCGCAGAATGGAGCCATTCGGCCGGGCAGCAGCAGAATGCCGCTCTCCGCGGCATGGGGGAAACGCTCGGTCGGCAGCTCGAGGCTGCCGCGAATCAATCGACCGCGCAGCAGCTGCAGCAAGGCCACGAGCTGCGCGCCTTGCAGGAAGGTGTGCATGGCAGAATGGCCGCGCAAGAAGGGGCCATTTCGATGATCGGCGCCGGGCTGGAAGGTGTGAGGCAAAGAGCTGAAATGCAAGCGAATGAGCTCGGGAGATTGCAAGCTGCTGTTCGAGGAGATTGGCTTCGAGCGGAAGAGTCGATCGGCACGGAGATGGACCGTAGAATGGAGCAGATGGGGAAGAGGCTCGCGGAAACGGAGGCGCACTTTTCGGAGGCCAACCAGAAGTTGGCGGATGAGGTGCAGCTGGCGGGCGCGATCGACGGCGGACGGTTCGCAAGGACTCAGGAGGATGTTTCAGAGGTACGCGAACGGCTGGTGGCATTGGAATCGGAGAAAGGAGGCCACGATGCGCGGTTGGAGGCGCTGGCCAATGCTACGGGAAAGGCATCCGAGGAGGCATCGATTGCCAACGAAAGCTTGCGCCAAGCGGCGCGAGTGCTGGGCGACCTCGGCGCCGCCGTTCAAGCGCAGCAAAACGCGCAGGAATCGGTTTCCGAACGAGTGGAAAGCATGGCTGCGAACCATGCTCGGGAAACGGCCTCCATGGCCGGCGAGCTCGGCGGCATCAAGCGCGCCATCGAGGCGCTGGACCGCAGGATGTCCGAGGCAACGTCCAGCCTCGTCGTTCGGCCGGCTATGCCGCCCTCGACCGTTCAGAGTCGGTCGCCGTTGCCGGTGGCCTCGGGCGCGGAGGATGCAGGTGCCGCGGAGGGAGATGCCGCCCCCGTGGGGCCTGTTCGCGAAAAAGTTACGCTTTACGAGGGGTTACGCACCCCTGGCGTAACGGGGAGCTGCGAGACGGCACAAGGTGTGAGTTTTGGAGTTCCTACGCTGCCCGTCGGTGCTGTGTCGTGGAGTGAGAATCCTGTGAACTGGAAGGTGAATCAGAATGTGGATTGGGATGCATTTCTGAACAAGCAAATTCCTAGTAGCGTGTACTTAGGGACAATGGTGCAAACTGTCCCAAGTACTACGGTGCAAACCACTACGGCACCGCCGGAGAACTTGGAAATTGCGAGCGGCATTGCAGCACCATTATTGCCTCCTGGTATCAGACAGACAGCAGGCACTTCAGTACAGCCTGGTCAATCTTCCCGTGGTCAATCAGCTGGTCCGAGTGGAGTACCGTCACGAGTGAGTGGAGCTGGAGCAGCTGGAGCTGGATTCCCTACACAGTCGGCTCGCCAACCTCCTTTCTGGGGGGTAGGCGTGCCAGAGGACCCCTACAGCGGGCTGGGATCATATGGCTCCCTGGGTGGTGGAGCTGGAGGATTAGGTGGTCACGAACCGCCAAGGAGACCACCCAGAAGGTCACCCTCAGGAGGCCCGCCTGGTGGCCCGCCTGGTGGCCCGCCTGGAGATGGCAGTGATGGCGGAGAGGACGATTCGATGGGCGAGAGAGAGTCATCACATGGAGGTGGGTTGCCGGATGTTGGACACAGAGCTGCCGCTATCCCTGTCGACACTGGATTCGGGAGATTGAGGATTCCGATGCCAGAGAGATTTTCTGGCCACCATCAGGATGTGAGCTGCACAGAATGGGTGCTGGCCATGTGCAGATGGTTGCGTGGCAATGCAGTGGACGAGTCACGTTGGCTGTCAGTGATGTTAGCAAACTTGTCTGGAGCTGCCATATCGTGGATGAACCTGGTAGAGTTGCAGGTCTATCAGGGGACACGAGCACCTTTTGCTGGTTGGCGAGAGTTTACTGAGGCGCTGCGTGGCACTTTTGAGTCAGCCACATTGGGAGAGCAGGCTAGGCGTAGACTCCACACTCTGCGTCAGTACAAGTCTGTAGAGGCTTACGTCAGGGAGTTCCAAAAATGGAGCTTCAGATTGCCTGACATGTCTCGAGCTGAGCGTTACTATCAGTTCATCGAGGGCCTCAAAGAGCCCATGAGATCTACAGTGGCGTCTTGGGTGCCTGAGGACCCTGATCAGGCCATCGCAACAGCTTTGCGTCTTTCTAGCCTTCAGCGTGGGGGCTGGGAGCAGTCTCAGGGGCAGAGCCAGGGCAGAGGTCAGCCTGAGGGCCGACAGCCTGGTGGACGTGGACGAGGCAGAGGACGTGGCCAGCAGCAGCAGCAGCATCAGGTTCAGGCAGTCAGTCAGTCTCAGCAGCAGCAGCAGCATCAGTCTCAGTCTCAGTCAGATTCAGTTGCAGCAGTTCAGCAGGGTGGCAGAGGCAGAGGCAGGGGTCGTGGACAGCAGAGTGGTGGTGGCGGCCGTGGTGATAGCGGTCGTGGGCGTGGTGTGTGTCGGCTCTGCAAGAGTCCGGGGCACTACGTCAGTGTTTGCCCGCGGCTGGAGGAGGCTGCTAAGCGGTTAAACTAGCCGCGGGGCAGCATGCACCGCC